GTAAATTTTTAACTCTTGAGCTCTAGTTACCGAAAAATGCTAGGTTAGGCCTAAGGCGTACCTCACGCGATTCGGCCGAACCGCCACTTTCACGCGACTTGGCGATTTGCCAGATTTCTACAAATTTATCGTGCGCGCTTCTCGGATGCATATTTGGTTGGCTTGTGTGAGTTGTTGCAAATGGAGCAAGTTCCGACCAAAAGCGCATTAACGACGAATTACGAAGAGTGTTGTGTCAAATAGCGCAGCGACCGGAATCGCGCGAGGTATGCCTTAGGCATTGAAGGCAGCGTCCCGGCAGATTTTGCATTTCCATCTTTTTGCATGTTTTGGGCCTTCTCGACTCGTAGATTCCGAATCTGAGCTTTAAAAGGGGTGAAAGGCCCTTTTTCGGGGCGTTTTTTTTTAATTTCCAAAAGGCAACTCGGACAAGAATTTTCAAAGAAAAGTCGGGAGGCCCTGGCACGAAGGCCCTGCTGCTTGTAATTTTGGCTTTGTATAGCATGCACAATGCGGGAAAGCGGTTGGGGGGGGGGAGGGAGGTCCCGCGCCGTTTAGCGGGGAATACTCGTCCGAACAAGGTGTTAGGGGAGCGAAAAAAGGAAGGGGAGCGGCGCTTGGGCCGCCCCCCTGGCTTGCAGAATTCACATTTTCGGCGCGGAGTTGCTGTTTTGGTTCACTTGGAGGGCCTTCTATCCATCTGTGTCAAAATCAGAGGTAGGTCAATCTGCCGAGCCGCTGTCTTTAAGCGTAGAAAGCCCAAATGAGGAAAGCTAAATTCGATATTCTTCGGGAACTAGAGCTTATAGAGAGCTAAAAATTTAGGGTCGTACTTCAAGGGCTTGTAGTATGCAACTGTTAGTGTAAGAACAGCACAGCATCACTTTGGTAAAAACATGGAATTTTTCGTTTTCTTGATTTCTAGACATTGAAAAAATACAGCAACAGCACATATAAGTGTCTGATGTGAATTGTATATGCGTGAGCGAGTGAGAGACTTGAAGGACCTTTTTGAACGACGAGATAAAAAAAAATTCAATTTTTTGGGCATCCGAAACTTTTTAGACTTTGGCTTCAAACTTGAGGTGGACCGAAGCTGGTGCAAAAACAGAAACACCATCTTGTAGAGCTTGCTTTGCTCTATCGAATGCTCCCTAACGTCTATTCAGAGTAAGAAGTGTACGACACATCACAGCGAAAACTCAAAAATGAAAAGGCTTACGGGACAACCTAATAAAACATTGCTGAAAACATTTGCAACCCTGTGAATTTCGCGCCTTGTCTCGCACTCGACTGACATTGGATAAGAGCAATGAATGATATTTTATAGTGTTACGTATTCCATGAATTATGACCCGCAGTCGGATATGGATAATGATTACGGCAAAATGCGACCTTCTATCCATAAAGACCAAATTTCCGGCAGAGAACCATAAAGCCTAAGTTTCTTAGAGGACAAAGTTTTTTTTGACATCGTGCATACAGTACAGGATGAACATACCTTTGTTTGCCTTTTAAGGAAGACCAACGAATTTTTAGCGTAAAATCTGAAAGCTCTCTTTGTCATGCTCTTGTGATGCTGTAAGCAAATGCACAAAACACACTCGAAGCTAGTGCTGCGTAACGGGTGTTGGGAGCTACGCATTCTTTATTCACAGTCCATAAAGGATAGCTGAAAAAAGTCAACGGAACTGCGTAATGTCCGACCTATTCCTCAAGTGGAGAATTGCTACAACTTTCTTTCTTGTTTTGGTGTAGATCATGGAACACTCAGTAATTTCTGGAAACGGACTACTTGGCTGTTATTCCTTGAAATCAGCGTTAAATCGCCATTCTCATTTGCATTCCATGTAATGATCATCTCAACATATTACTCCTTTGTTTGGTTGTCTACCATCTGCCTTTGTTTATGCAATGTGTGTAGCTCAAAAATCAGATTTTTTCATAGAATGTTGACTACTGAGTAGCAGTATAACTCTTACATGAGGCAGTTTCGCAAAGCAAGGACTTTACTATGATAAAGCAGTAAGGGAGCGCACTATCTGTCAACTCGCATGAGTGGAGAGAAAATGAAGTGCACCTTTGAAGAACGGACTGCGAAATTTTTGAAATTTGCTTATGGTTTATAAAAATGTCACGTGACTTGTTGATTCTTGTAAATAATTAAATATTTTAAAATTTTTTAAAGTTCAAATTAGCCTTACAAAAACTTCATTCGGCGGCGTCTGCGCCATGCTCCCATTTTCCGGATTTCAGGGGTTATGGGCTTGCAAAAATTTTGGTAAGCACCCTAATAAATTTCCCTGAGTGCGTGACGTTAACCATGCGCCTTCATTTAAAAATATTCATGTGAGTAATGAGCATGTGCCTAAATTAAGCTACAGTAGTCTCGCAAGTAGTCAGTAGAGTTTTTGGTTTTTTTTTTTGACGGAGTATATATTCCTTAGAGTACGCTTGCAAGTTCATATGTATGTAGGTGGACACGTAGCCAATACATAAAAGAGGAAAAATGTTGATGCAATTTGAAGCACGGTGTTGCCTTCAAACTATGTAGTTTTTTGCTTTTATCAATATTAGCCCTTGGTAATGGTAATCGAGTCTTGAGCAGCAATTACCGCGCATAAAATATTAGGTTGTTGCAAAAATAATGTCCGTTGTTCTAGGCCTACATTCCAAACAACTTTTTTCCATCAAACTTTATTTCACGGTGCAGAACCTGCATACCATTAGAAAGCTCTCATCATGTAGTTTATAATGGTGGTGACAGTTGCTACCCTCATCTGTGAGAATTTCACCAGCATTTTGCACATCTGCACTCAAAATCGAAATCTCATAGCTTTCAATTTCTTGTCCACAATTCAGGAGCAAATAAACGAATTCTTCTGGAAACATAGCAACTGTATCAGTAAGATTGTTTACCTCTGCGTGCTTACGTAGATTTTTGGAGATACCTGGACTAAGAAATTTACGCCCCGAGATAGTTACTCGCAGCTGACATTCTGTGGGTCAGAAATTCCTCATAACTGAGGCAATCGCCAAAGCTTCACCCATTTCTGTAAGCTTGAGATAAGCACACCTTAACTACAATATTTGAAGAGAAACTTAGCTATTCAGTGCGCGAAGAATTCCAAACTATCATAACTTGGCACTCACAAGCCTGCAACAAATACGTTCAAAAAGTAAAAATTTTTGAAATTTTACTTTTCTTTTCGCAAAACTCCTTCCTTGGAGTCTTTTCAATACACACGTGAATCCATGGCCTGCGGATACAAAATAAGCTGATTGCCAGCCACACGAACAAAACTTGAAGGGAGTTATAAGCTCGTAGAGACGAAGTTTTCAAAAGAAAAAGTTTCAGTTTTTTGACGCATGGTATCCTTCCCGTTTGCGGTATCAGCACGTGCAGGTGCGCGCCAAATTACGAAAGGTTTATTGTTTCTGATGATTCTGACTGTATTCAAAAATATGAAGATTGAACGAAGTTATAGCCTTCCAAAGTGAAAATTTGCAAAACGGACATTATTTTTGCAAAACCTAATAATTATGAACTAGAGATGTTTGTTTCGTAACCTTGGCATATTTCACTAAAGAGGTGCTACGGTAAAGTACAATCATCGTATTCACAGCAACTCTCCAGAATAAGTGTTTTCTATTTGCTTGCATTGGATTCTAAGCAAAACACGACACTGTATAGGACAAAACAGGTTTCTGCTGTAGTCCTACAGTGAAAAAGAAAGGTTGGTAATTCGCTCCATGCAAAATTTTCGGTTGAAGCTCTACAATACGTTGTTTGAATGACCGCAAGTGTTCTTCATACAAAAGGGTTGTTATCAGATAACATAAATGTTTACAGCAATAGCGGGCCGAGGAAGGAGGGGGGAGCAAGCTTTGTTTTATACAAGGACTAGCTGGCTTACCCGGCTCCGCCGTATGTTCCGAATAGAAAATTCCATTTCTTAACCGATCCGGACCAAACTTGGCACACATACACTTCGGGCCCCGGCGGGTATCATATGCTACTTTTCGTCATCGATCGATATCGATTTTATCGATTTTTTGCGAAATTTGAGCTAGGAGGCTGGGATTTGGCAGAGGGGTGTAATCGAGCATGCTGATCACCCCCACGGCGGTGATCAGCATGCTCGATTACCCCCCTGTGCCAACTCCCAGCCCCGTAGCTCGAATTTTGCAAAAAATCGATAAAATCGATATCGATCGATGACGAAAAGAGGCCTATGACACCCGCCGGGGCCCGAAGTGTATGTGTGCCAAGTTTGGTCCGGATCGGTTAAGAAATGGAATTTTCTATTCGGAGCATACGTACAGAAAGACAGACAGACATACATACAGACAAACAGACATTCAGCTTTATTTATAAGATGTGAAGTTTGAGCACACCTATCAATATGTTGCTTGCAGTGGCGTACCGAGGGGGGGGCGGGGGGGGGGGCGCGCGCCCCCCCTCCCCCGAGAATGGGTCGCGAAATTTTCGAAAGTTATTTACATGGGTTATAAAATTGTGCAAAAGACTTGTCTGCACTTGTAAATAATTAAAATAATTTCTAAAATTTTTTAAAAATTCAATTTAGCCTTATAAAAAAAATTTTTTCGGGGGCGTGGCTGACGCCACGCCCCCTTTTTCGGAAATTTTGGGGTTCTGGGGCCGCGAAAATTTTAAGAAGGGTACCAAAAAATTTTTCTGGGTGCGTGGCTAACGCCACGCACCTTCATCAGAAAAAAATTTTTGTCGCGCCCCCCCCCCCCCCGAGCCGAAATCCTGGGTACGCCACTGGTTGCTTGAAGACTTTTGTCGTTGATGCAAACAAAAGATTATTCGTTATATCGTCATTCAAGCTCCTTTTGTAACAATTAGTGCAGATCATGCTCCGATGATGAGATGTTTGGTTTCTTTTGTTTAGTGATCACTATATTTCGCGTTGCTCAATACAGCTGTCTGGGGTAGAAGTTTTATCGTAACTAAATAACGAAAAATACTTCAGATGTTCACACCTTTCTCAGGTGGAGCGTTCACGTTCGCGATCAGTGCATTCTTCATAGCACTATATATTCCTGTTCTTTACGTAGGTTGATTGTTTTCTTTGAATGATGATATCGATCTATCGATTTGCGAAGTTCAGGTATTCCGCAAAAATTCCGAATTTCGCACTGTGCTAGCCTATAAGGTAATGTTTTGGACAGGAGTCACTGATTTGGGCCAGCTTTTTATATTCCTATTGTCTGGTATTATGGCTATGATACAGTCAGGATTTCTCCACTTCTATATCAACAAGGTAAATGCCCTATAATTAGCAAGACAGACAAGCGGATCATGTCAGGAATTGGCCATTTTGATAATTCAATTTGCACACTATTGAAATTAAATGGTAGTCTGTGTTTTGCGTGTACTCTATACTGTGACAAGTTTCAGTTCTGTGGATCCACGCTGTATGCGTTTTGGTTTGCCATGCTATATCTCTCAATTATCGTAACATTGAATCGCTTCGTCTCTGTCGTACTTTCTGGATACTATCCCGTCATATTTCACCCAACAAATGTCAAAGTGAGGAAAATTTTACGGTATTGCAACACTATCACCGAATTATCACATAATTTTTAGTGGATGTATTTGTTAGCGGTTATGATATTTGGGATATCGTGGATTGTCAAACTTACTCCTTATAGCAGTTATTATTTTGAACCAACGCTGCTCAAATGGCATTATGGAGCAAACGACGTTTACGTGAGAAACTTTTGCAAATTTGAGAACAAGCTAGCTTTTTCGTAAGAACCTGTAAACCCTAGCTTGAAAATTCAACTCTTGTTCCTCCCGAGTGCTCCCTTTTTTTTAATCATTTTAGATTCTCTCTCGTCTTTCGCATTACTTTGGTACTTACACTATTCTTGTTCATGTTATATGCACTCTCGGCGCATACTCAGTTATCGCCCTCCATATAATCTCTAGGGTAGGAACTGAGAGAGGAAAGTCTGATGCTAAATGCTACATTATTCAGAAAAAGAAATCTCTCAAATGGACAGAAGTTGTCCTAACTTTGCAGCAATTTTTTGTCACACTAGTTTTCTTATTCGGATTTTTATACTGGAGGTTCATTGACGGCTTGTTGGAACGTAGCCTTCTAGTGAGCTTCTTCAGCAATCTGATATGGGTGATTATAGCTGGTCTGAATCCGCTAATATATTTACTTGTGAACAAGTAAGTTAACTCAGCTGTTAACAGTATCAGTAGAGGGGAGAAGGAGGAGAAGAATACATTACAACAGCTATACGTATCGCTTGCTACAAGCCATCACATAGAATAAATGGCTAAAAAGAAAAGAAAGTTTTGTACTATCCCTTGTCCCTCCATAAGACGAATTTTTAAACCCTCTTAAAAACTCCTCTAGGAATAGAGGGCAAAAATTTTCAGAAGGACATGCGTGAAGTAAAAGTGAACTCCTCTTGACTCTTTCTAATGTGCTTCGTTTATTTTGAATAATTATTTTCTTTTGCCTACGTTTAATTAAATGCTTCCGTCTCAAGACTTATACAACTTACGAGGACGTTCAAGGCTAAACTGGTCCAGCTTAGATATCCACCAACCTAACAATCTACTAATAGAGCGCCCCGCAGTGTGACTGAAGAAGTAAAAAGTCAAAATTAATTAATGTGACCACCAAAAAGTTGCGGTCAAGCTGCCTTCCTTTTTTCATCGCTCATTTTCGGCTGGAAAACAAAGATGAAAGATTGATCTGATTGCATGAAGTGACAGAGTTCTAAGAGCTACAACTCACACATTGCGCTTTCAGGAAAAATTTCAAAAATCGTTTTCTAAAGACAGTCCGAAAATGGTCGCGTCACTAGTCGCGGGCAATAATCCTTCGAACGCGAAAATTTTTCCTCAGGTCTTTGTTTGAAACAAGAACAGAAGCTTTCCTGACAGATAAGCATACTATATTATAGAGCTTATCAAGGACAACAATTAAGTAGTGTTTATTCCCAAAAAACGCAAGCTTGAACTTTGTTCTGCCTTTTTTAGAAATAACTTCTATTTTTCTTTTTCAAAGCAAATTTCTTCACATGAAAACCTATTTAAGGCATCCCAACAAAGCTTTTCGGATAAAATAGATGCTCTTTGCCATCCTCTAGGCATCGGACGTATGCTGGTGGGTTTCTTTGCCGAAAATGGCCTTTGACAGTGTGTGCACATAACCCCATCTGCTCCTCACCGCTGACTTGCACCGCTCTGCAGGCTTGTAACTCTGCCAGCGGTCACTCCACGAGCCTGCAAATAGGCTCATTCGAAAGAGGTGATTTTCTGGACACAACGATATGCGAACGAGATGATTTTGGGGAATCTTGGAGAATTTACGGATTCAGTGGTAGACTGAGGATTTCTCTGCTAAAGTTGAACAGAGCTCCTTTCGCTACCAGTTTCCTCCTATAAGTTTGAATGGTCAATTTTCTCGTAATGGATCCAAGAAGCTCTAAGACTGTTTTGATGCTGAGAAAAGCTTTCACTCAAATTACTTTTGAGGCTCGCTTTTCTACCCATCTGTGAATTCTCCAGGACTCTCCACTCATTTGCATACCATCGTATCGAGCAAGTTAAGCTCTTTCGAATGAGCCTACTTGCAAGCTCGTGGAGTGACTGCTGGCCGAGTTACAAGCCTGCAAACGGTGCAAGTCAGTGATGAAGTACAGGTGGGGTTATGTGCACGCACCGTCAAGGGCCATTTTCGGCAAGGAAACCCACCAACACACGTCCAATACATAGAGGATGGCAAAGAGCATCCATTCAATCCCAACAACTTTGTTTGGCCGTGAATAGGTTTCCATACAAAGGACGGCTTTGAAGAGTTGATTAGAAGTTATTTTTTGAAAAGCAAAATAAAATTCAAGCTTGGATTTTTTGGAATAACCATCACCTGATATTGTTCTCGATGAGCTTTGTAATAAGTATGCTTATCTGTCAGGAAAGCTCTTGTTCTTGTTCCAAACAAAGACCTAAGGAAAAATTCGAAAGGAAAGTTCGAAGAATTATTGTCCGCGACATTGTGCGACCATTTTCGGATTTCTTTAGCACGTTTCGGACCGCGAAATCGCGCGCGGCGAAAAAGAATGTACTTTCGGCCGTTAGCCAGCAAAGGAACCTTATTTTGCCGACTGTCAACTACATCTGTAATCAGCATGCCAGATAAGCTCCATATCCAAAGTTCGGGGTGAATTCGAAGAGTTTGAATTTTGTCGCTTAAGAGGGACTCTTGCTTTCTTGAAAGATGGGAGCAAGAACTCAGTTTCAAATAGTATCTTAAAGTATCTATGTTGTACACTGTACTCGTCACTATTGAAACTACGGTTTATCTCTTTGAAACTGGAGCAAAGAAAAGTTGCGACATCGCACGCGTCGTTCGCGTTGCCGCACTTCGTTGTCACAGTTATTCGATTTGTCCCCACATCTTCTAAACAAATATCGGCGGCACAGCTCTATAGAGTCATTTGAAAAGTAGGAGCTTAGGCCTTTGACATAATAACCTTGGACTAAAAGAAAACCTCCTGTAAACGTCAGAAAAAACCTTCAAAGCAGCGTGCTGCACCATTGCATCACCGGTCCGAAACGTGTTAGAAGAAGATTTCTGAAATTATAGAAAGCGCAATGTGAGGATTGTAGCACTTGAAGAGCTCTATCACTCCATGCAAACAAATCATTCTTTTATCTTTGTTTTCCATCTGAAAATGAGCGATGAAAAAAGGAAGGCGGCTTGTCTGCAACTTTTTGGCGGTCACTATATATAAAAACAACACATGAAGGGTAGGTGGAATAACCAATTATGATATCGTTTTCTATTTCTTGGCTGTTCGTCATTCATATGAAAGCAAATTCTGCAATAATTTCTATATTCCAAATTCTGTAAATTCTCAATAGATTTTATTGTGCTGTTACCAACATTCTCTAGAGAGTGACACTAATCACTATTAGCTCAAAAAACCAATTTCATTTTTTCCTCGTAGCTGCAAAGCATTGCTTTAATAAAGTCATTTCCAACCCTTCTTTTATAAGCATAGACAGCGCTGTTGAGAGCAACTGGTGGAAGTGCGTAGCTTAAAGACAGGGTCTCATCAGATTTGGGAGATGGTAGATTTACGGACTACATCAAGGATTCCCCTTATTAGGCAAATACTCAAGTCTCATTAGGAAATGCCTCCTTGGGCAAAGAAAATTGGGCTCAAAATAGCTTCAAATATACCGCGAAAGCCTAAACCTCACATGCAATTTCAAAGCAAGCATAGTTGCCCGTTAAACTGGGCAGTTCTTTTATTCTAACGTTCAGTAAAATTTTCGCCATTCTGCCGCTGATGTATATCGCTGAGACTACAAATTTTTGATACCGGCCCCTCTATTCCTAAAAAGGACTTAAGCATTGTAGATTGGCGAAAACAACGCCAGAATAGCGGAGGGACTTATTGAATGCCAACAACAGAGGTTTCAATCAAAGGAGAAAGAAATCTGGCAACCATTAGTTCTGTGTGTCTTTCAAACATACACTTATGTACTCGTAGCAGAAGTTCCAAGCTTGCTGCTCTTTGCTCAAATGCTGATGACTAGCAAGATTATTGATGCTTTAAAAAAGTGATAAAAGACATCTAAACCTTATGGCTTCCGCAACTCTATACTTTTATAAGAACTAGCTCAGCACCAATTATTTATGAAGATTGCATCGCAAAAGTTGGAATAACAACACCACACCCTATGAGTTTTTCGAAGTTTTTGTCATGCTTTGACTCAAAACACCGCAATTCAATTTTTATCTTCTTTCACCTTGCTTACAGATGTCATCGATAGAAATCATGGAGATGCTTCTTAAAACCATTCGGTGAAACTAGTGAAACTAGCCAAAAAAGGAACGAACTTTGGGCAAACCCAATGTAATATTTGTAATCTTCTTTTAAAGCCGTTCTTTTTTTGATTATAGAAAAGGGCCCAACCAATCTTTATTTCGAGTGTTGCTCAAGTCAAAGCTTTGGATAGATTAGTGACTAATTGTAAGACAGAAAAGGTATTCGCTTGTTACATTTCAATGGCAACATCTACTTAGATACCCAGGTCTCTTATCTCGTTATATTTCTTGAAACCACTATATCTTATATATAAAGCTGAATGTCTGTTTGTCTGTCTGTATGTCTGTCTGTATGTCTGTCTGTCTGTATGTGTGTACGTATGTTCCGAATAGAAAATTCCATTTCTAAACCGATCCGGACCAAACTTTGCACACATACACTTCAGGGCCGGTCGGGTGTCATAGGCTACTTTTCGTATCGATCGATATCGATTTTATCGATTTTTTGCAAAATTTGAGCTACGGGGCTGGGAGTTGGCACAGGGGGGTAAGTGAGCACGGGGATTCCGAATACAAAATTAGTTTTTATAATCGTGCATTACTTACATCGATTTTATCGATTTTTTTGCAAAGTTTGAGCTACGGGGCTGGGATTTGGCACAGGGGGGTAATTGAGCATGCTGGTCACCCCCGTGGGGGTGATCAGCATGCTCGATTACACCCCTCTGCCAACTCCCAGCCCCGTAGCTCAAATTTTGTAAAAAATTGATAAAATCGACATCGATCGATAACGAAAAGTGGACTGTGACACCCGCCGGGGCCCGAAGGGTATGTGTGCCAAGTTTGGTCCGGATCGGTTAAGAAATCGAATTTTCTATTCGGAACATACGGCGGAGCCGGGTAAGCCAGCTAGTACTTAATAAGTCTGAGTTGAAATTTCTGTAAGCCGCAATAGTGATAAATAACTGTGGAAAATGAGCATTTTTGTATCTTCCGAGCTAGAGCTTAGTATGAATTATGCAATACCATAAAAAACTCAGAGCTTGCATTATCTGAAACACTTGATTTGGCATAATAGAGGTAATTAACAGATCAGATTCTTCAGTTGTTAATTTTTTTGAATATGTAGAATTTCAGGCGGTTGCGATTGTGCTTACGAAGACTAGGCAAAGGCCGAGCAGAAGGTGGAAAGAGTATGATAGTGATGCCAATCTCTACATTGAGCTCTCAAAGGCTCAAGTAATAGTTTTATTATAATCAGTTCTAGAGTAGAGTATGCATTTTTGCTCAAGATCCACATCTCTTGTACATTAGGAGTTGATCGTCACATTGCTGGTGATAATAAAATCGCGGTTTATGGAGGTGTGCACTCACATTTTGTTATCGTGTGATTTGTTGACAAGCTATGCTATATCGTGCGACCTAACAAAATTCTTTGTTCGTTATCCACACAATGTAACCATTGCTTGTGATTGCGTCTATGCGTTACGAAAAGCAGAAAACTATTTGTCCCGCTTAGGTTACAGGCAGAGGATTCACCAACAAGATATGGCTTGAAGGAATGTTCAGACTAATTTGAAGGTTGTGAAGTCCTTGCACGCAACGATAATTCAATATTGCTTAAGCAAATGTGCTGAGTAGAAAAAATTGTACCAAGAAGCATAAATTGCCAAAATCTTCTGGTTTTGGCAATTCAAGAGTCCAAGTTATCCTGTATGTCTTCAACAATGGACCTTGATTTGTTCTTGGCAAAAAAATTTTCACAACATTCTCATTTGATTTACAAAGAGTTATGATGTTCGAACGGAGTGGTATGTTATCATGAATTGCAGCCGCCATAAGGCCAGACCCAAAAATGAATGATGAATTCATTCAATGGAGTAATCTTCACCACATAAAGTTTAGAGCCAAATTCAAAGCCTTTTATTCCAGAAATTGTACCTCCGCCCGAAGTCGTACAACGATCTTACTTGGACAGTTTAACAAAAGACATATATCATTGCATTGCTGCATTTTTCTCCGTAGCTAGCAATCAATAGACAAATGATAGCCGCAATATGACAGACGCAAAGCTGTGCTCTCGTCACATACGTAGTTGTGTACAAATACTCCTTACACATTGACGAACTTGCATACAATCACGTCTATCCCTCCCCCTATCACCCTTTCCGCTGCATCTGGTTATCTTACATATAAAGCTGAAAATCTGCTTGTATGTTTGTCTGTATGTATGTCTGTCTGTACGTATGTTCCGAATAGAAAATTCCATTTCTAAACCGATCCGGACCAAACTTTGCACACATACACTTCAGGGCCGGTCGGGTGTCATAGGCTACTTTTCGTCATCGATCGATATCGATTTTATTGATTTTTCAAAAAATTTGAGCTACAAGGCTGCGAGTTGGCATAAGGGGGTAAGTGAGCATGCTGATTACGAATATAGTATTGACAGGGCCGGGGGGAGCCGGGTTTGCCAGCTAGTATTTTGTAAAGCTGTTCATCTGTCATAGTTGTTTCTGATTCTTTACAAATTCTTAGTTATCATATTTATGAGTATGTTACTTTTTGAAACTTTCTTGGGAACTACTGATGTGGGGCGTCAAGAAAGCTACACTACCGGTCTAGTTCTTGGCCACGAAACCGGTTGTGTAAGAAACAGTAGTCACTTTTTGGAGATTTTGGAATTCTTGGAATATTCTTTCTTATTGTGAACTCACCTCTTTGTTTTTATTTTTAGTTTCTGCTTTCTGAGACCAAGGCCATTACGGAACAGCCCACATTTTTTAACTATAATTACGCATGCTGCCATATACAGTGTACCTACATCAGATCTGAAAGTCTGACAAAAAAGGTAGAGGTGATTCCCAGATTTAGGAGTGAGTTTGTTCCAGGATAGTAGTCATTATAACAAAAATCAAGTCTTTACACATGGTGTGTCAAGTGGTCCCACGCGGTAGTCATTGCTTGACACACCATGTGTGTCAAGCGGTGGTCAATGTGTCATTAATCAAACATGAAAATCAGCGATTGTTGATTGGCGAATAACATTCATTCAACCTTCCTGAAAACCCGCGATACACCTCATGGCAGGTTTACCCCAGCATGATTGACGCCGCGAATTGCCTTTTGAAAAAATGGGTCCTGATAACGGAAAAGTACCTTTTTTTCAAGTGTGAAATTCATATTAAGCTTCTCATCATTAAGGATATAAAATGGCTAATGACTACCTTAATTGTTATATTGTAGGGCTCAATGGTGTTCCTTATGGCAGTTAGTACTCGGAGTCGCCTTATTTCATGTACTTCATGAAATACTGACCTGTGAGGTCCTAAATATGACTCACTTTGTTTCACTTCCGTCACCCTTCACCGGCTTTTCATCATCAAAATCAGAGACACACTTAATTTGGTGTAACACTGAAAGGCAGTAACATATCACTCATAAAAGCGGCCGAGATAAAGGTCTGGTAGGAGCCTATCTTCAAAGATGGAAAATAGGTAAGTGAAAAGGAAGGACAATATTTTGGCTTCTGTCGAAGAAACTCAGTACTTTAAATGGAGGAAGATGTGGCATAAAACAACAAAAATTTAGGTTATTTATATAACATATATAGTAGTCAGGTTCCGAGTTTTTTTGGTCTTTCAGTTAACGTCTGAGTCTCAACCGCTAATTTGAAGGTAGACGTCATCCTGAGAAATTCAACATGCGTATTTCCTTTCGTTCCAGTTCCATTCTAACTGATGCTCATAAATAACAATATTTCTCGATATTTTCAGCTATGACAGGGATGACAACAGGTCAGGCACAAGTCTTTCAAAAACGACCCCCTCCCTCCCCCCCCCCCCCCCCTGTAAAGGCCCCTAAACGACCCTCCGCTTCACCTCCAAGTCCTCAGGGTGTTATATTTTGAAGAAGACCAGCCTTCACTGCATGTTTCTATTTTTTGAAAGTTTGTAGGTCCGATTTTCTGCGATTGCACAACCACACGCAACTTGACGGCAAGTTTTAGGTTTGGATAGTCCTCTTTTCAGAGCTATAATTTTCACAGGGGTGAAGTGTTTGCCTCCAAATTTTCAATATAGCAAGAAGAGGCTTTGCGCTTAATACTCATGACAAAAAAAAGGGGCGATTTTTGAATTTTGAAGGCAAGTTAATGGGGTCAGGCGCAACCCCTCAAAAGCTCAGGCGGCCTGACCTTTTGAGGGGTTGCGCCCGACCCCATCAACTTTATTTCCGAAAAAGCTTTTTCACCCAAATTTCACGTGATTCGCTAGCTCAACCCTCGAAGATCCCACAGTATGTGTTTGGGCTTGACTCGACTTGTTTCGGCCTTGTGCTAATTCGAGGAGTTTTAAGCACTCAAAGTGGAAAACGTGCCGGTTGGAATTTTGGCAGCACTGCTTACTTCACTGTTTGAAAGCGATATGAAGCCCGATTTGTAGCATAGACTTGTAGAGAACATTACTTTGTTATGAGTATACAAAAGCTGACTTTTCTCACTTCTGAAACCTAGTTGATCACGTTTGAAAATCACGCTTTTTAGACGTTGAGAAACACTAGAAACTGCAGTAGGTAATGGTTTGTAGAGCGCATAGAGGTAGTTTGACATGCTTTATGGAAATGATACCCATTTCACACGGCAAGCTTCCTTGACGACCTCATATGTCAAGGTAAAAGAGATGAAGATTTGAATTTTGGCTGAAACTTCATTGTGGGAATAATCAGTGTGCTGTTAATGACCGTCATTCCTTCATGTGACCGTGTTATCCACCGGACTAGCGCATTTCTTCTTCACCTTCGTAGTATCTTCCCAAATTAACAAATTCGATTCTTAATTACGACCCCCCCCTCAGTCTTATTCTCAATACGATCCCCCAGGTCGGGCGCGCCTGACCCCACGCTCAACCCTGGCTATGACCAGAGTCAAGCAGGGGTGTAGCATACCGCAGCCAATTACGACCCCCCCCCCCCCCACCGCAACCAAATACGACCCCCTGGCTAAAAAAGCTGCACGTCGGAGGTACGCCGCGTTCAAATCTCGGGGACCCACAAAACTCTCCGCTGTGAGAGATTGCCAGCGGCAAAAACAGGGGTGGGGAAGGGCAGATACATGACCCGACGACAAGTAACATTGCACCAAGAGTGCCGCTGCCGTATTGGTTGAAGTGTGTCGCGAGTCGCACGAGAAATTCGCGCCGATCGTACCTCCTGACCGTCCTCCGGAAATAGACATCATACTGAACGGGATACCGCGTCAAAAGTTGAACAGGTCACAAAGTGTAAAATTGCACCAAAAACTGTTGCAAAGCAGCAAAAAGACAGTCTTGAAAGTGAGCAGTTTATCCAAATGAGACAAGTAGAAAACTTCGATCAATGCGGCATGAGTATGGTCAAAAACTCCTCAAAACACTCATCTTTTGCAGGACTACACGAGAATGACATGTGAGCAAAAAAAGAGGAAAGAACGTTGACAACGCTCTTAACAACAATGTTGCTAGCATAGGTGCGATGGGGTGAGCAAATGCTCCCCCCCCCCCTGCACTTTGGAGGCCGGACCCCCCCCCCTTTCACCTGACGGACGAAAATTTTTTTGAAAGTAAGGAATTACTGCACAATTACAAAAATATCAATGAACAAATGCATTTTCAGAAGGATCGAACGCAGATCTTATAAAGATGTTCTCGACCGACAATAACATGGGCAGCGGACAATGGCAGTTACTTTGGAGGCCTGAAAGGCGCTGATGGACGACAGATTCACCTGGAGAATGTTGATGTGGATGATGTTAAAAAAAGACCTTGCATTGATCATGTTTTGTTATTTTGCAAATAAAATTTTATGTCGATATTTATGTAGTACAATAAAAGAATGGTGTTCATTCGTGTTCGCTTAAAGTAGATAAAGATATAGAGTCCAAAACAATGATAAAATTAGTACAAATGGTGTCAGGAGAAATTTTTAGGGCAGCATAGCTGCAGTCACAATGTTGGCCAAATTTGAGAAAAGTCAGTTTTGAGTCAATATAACTTGAGTAAGTTGCAGAATTTCATCTTGCGAGAGTATAGGCGTTAATAAGGAACCTTTCCTCTATCACGTAGAAAAAAAAGTAGATCCTAAAAAGTATTCCTTTTAGAGTTATGAAGTCGCAAGTAGAGCAAAAATCACGCCTCCAAAAATCGATTTTTTGCAAATAACTTGTATGTATGTGAATGAAATTGAATGGGAAGGGTATAGGTAGATTATACTCATCAAGAGCTCTCGATTGATATATAGCATGCGGGGGTCCTATGTTTTTTGAGCCCTGCGAGGGGGGGGGGGGTGATCGGTCTCAGT